CCTGCTGGTGCTCTGAACACCTCTGTGGCTCTACACCTTCCACTGACCTGCACTGAAATGTGTTCCAGGTTTGGTTTTGTGGGATCAGACAAAGATCACCCCTTGGTTCAGATTCTCTGAGCACAGCATTGCAGTTTGGTTTTAATAATGCAATCAGACAGATTTCTGTCTGCTCCCATCCCTTTCATCATCCCTCCTTGTCTCTTTCAGTTCAAGGAAAATAAAAAAATCACATTGAAAAATTCAGACTTACTTTCAGCTAAAGACAAAATAAACAATGGAGAGACATGAATGCAGCACAGCACATGTCATCTTCCCAGCCCAGCATAAATGTGCAGGTAAACCCTCAGTTACTGTGACAGGCCCTACTGAAGATCTCCTCTAGCAAAATCAGCTGAGAATCTGTCCCTCATTACTACTGCCCAGTTTGGGACATTTGCATTTCCTCTGACAATGTGGATTTTAAGCATGAACAAAGCAGAATATGTGATAAGTATCTACAGCACATATTGCAAAGCAGTTTGATCCTTTGGCTTTTCAATTCTGGCCATCACAGTTTCAACTCTTCATCTCCAGTTTTCAGGTCTGAGCCTTTAGATCTTTTTTTTTTTTCCTTTCACATTTATTACACTAAAATCTTTTTCCTCTCTTTATGAGCTTTTAAAAAATCTGCACGAACATTTTGAGCGCTGCAGAATTAAGAAAAACAAGTGGGTTATACTTTTCCTGCAGTCAGAAGTTCAAACCAAATCAAAGCAGGAGTGTCTGAAAGGTCCCTTCACCTGGAACTCCCTCACCTCCTCCTCCTCCTCCTCCTCCTCCTAAGGCTGCAGAAAACTCCCTGTACATTATTGAGGCCAGCACATTTAAAACAATTTTTCTCATGATTTATGTGCTATATTTTGCCTTAGCTCTGCTGAAGGGAATAGCTGATTTTTCTGGGCACTGTGCCCAGATTATGTTTAATTTTGTCCTCAGATTGTGCAGTTTCCCAGATACTACACCAGAGATGAGCATTTTATAAGTTAATATAACAATAAATAAAATAAAATCTGTTCTCATGTCTCCATGTAACAACTGCAACCTTAAAAGCTTTGCCCTGTTTTAGAGAAGCTTCTCTTTGTTACAGTCAGGGACTAAAAATACATCAAATTATTTTGACATGATAAGAAAATAAGGTAAATAATTTATAGATCCCCAAAGAAACACTTCAAATTTCACCCTAAATTCCATAAACAAATAAATAACATTCTACTATTGAATGCATTAGGAATTGGTTATATGGAGGAGGAATTAGTTTGGATTCCACTACTGCATTTTACATCGTTTTTCTATTTTTGAATAAAAAAAGGAAGAAAAACTTACTGTGTATTCTGATCCCCAATTGTCCATTTGTAAAATAAAGGATGAGGGAAAAGAAAAAAAAAAAGGAAATGTTAAATAAGGCAATGATGAAAAATCCTTACAGTAAACATACATGAATAATGTCAATAGTTGTGTCAGTGCTGATTTCTGTTGGACTCAAGTCCATGGGATTATAAAGGACACAAATCACAGAGAATCCAAGCACCTGTTGTTTTCTCTGCAAGGAACTAACTGCATAGATAAAACACTCCAGTATTTACCTATCCATAATCAATAATCTTTATTGCCTGATATCAGTAAATATAAGGTGGAAAAATACATGCAGCTCTATAAGAGTTGTTAAAGAAACTTAGTATTTATGGCTCAGTATGAACTTGGAGCTTCTGAAGATAAACTAAACTATCCCCACAACACAAATCAGCAATCACTTCTGCTTTATTCCTTACCTGTGATTGTGTAAGGATAATAATTCCAGGCCTTCTCTGTAACATAAAATATTTTGGGAACAACTGCTCTAGCCCAGCTAGGAAGTTTGCTAGAAGGAAAGAGAAAATATCAAATTAGAGTGTTATGACTTAAGACTGTTGCAGACAAGAAGGTACTTCCAAACGTGCTCATGTTTGGTATGTGTTTCAGGGGATGCAAAGCTCAGACTTTACAGCAGATTTTCATTTTCTGTCTCAGGTTTCCCACAGGCACAGGTGAACCCAAGGCTGCTCTCCCCTGGCAGAGTGAACAGACCAGAGCCAGTGCAATAACTCTGAGCACACCAAACTGAGGCTGCAGACTGAGAGAATTCCTGGCCCCAAAGCTTTGGCCATGGGTGAACTCCCCAGGTTGGTCCATGCAAGGTGAAGTGTGGCAGTGTGTCCCTAACCACAGGGAGGCACTCTCTAACAAGAGGTCTTAAATAAACACAGGATTTCAGACCACCTCGATCCCAAATCCATTATTTCTTCTTTGAGACTATTTTTACTTCCTCCATATTCTCTGCCAACACTCAAACCCTCACGTTCAGCTCACCTACCAGGCAGTTGTTCCCACACCACCCACCCCAGCTCCTGAGTAGGAAGCTTTTGTATTAAAATTCACAAATCACTCAAACACCTCCAGGAGGTTGGTAGGTACCTTTAGTCCCATTTTGCTGCTGGGAAAAGTAAATAACAAAGTGAAGAGAATTAATGGAACTGCTGTCACAGCTCAGAGCTCACTCTGTCACGAGAACTCACCGGTGCAGTAGTACAACAGCAGCAGAATCAGAAATGAAAGACATGACAGAGCATATGGAAGGGTCATTAAAGAGTAATTAAATAATACTGTGGAAGAGTGGGAGCATTGTTTTGCCATAGAATCATAGAATCAACCAGGTTGGAAAAGACCTCCAAGATCATCAAGTCCAACCCTACTGTGGTTACTAGACCATGGCACTTAGTGCCACATCCAGTCTCAGCTTGAAAACCTCCAGGGATGGTGAATCCACCACCTCCCTGGGCAGCACATTCCAATGCCTGAGCACTCTCTCTGTAAAAAAAATCTCTTCCTAATATCCAACCTACCCCTCCCCTGGCAGAGCTTGAGTCTGTGCCCTCTTGTCCTGCTGCTGGGTGCCTGGGAGAAGAGACCAACCCCCACCTGACTCCAACCTCCTGTCAGGAGTTGCAGAGGGTGATGAGGTCTCCCCTGAGCCTCCTCTTCTCCAGGCTGAACACCCCCAGCTCCCTCAGCCTCTCCTCATGGCACTTGTGCTCCAGTCCCTTCACCAGCCTCCTTGCTCTTCTCTGGACCTGCTCCAGCCCCTCAATGTCCCTCCTGAGCTGAGGGACCAGAACTGAGCACAGGATTCAAGGTGTGACCTCACAAGCATCGAGTCCAGGGGCAGAATCACCTCCTGGTCCTGCTCAGCTTTCTGACCCATGGTTCTAGGGTCTCTCATGCCCAGCACTCCGAGCACAGAGGGTATGAAAAACTGATGATCAAAGAAACATTTTAAAAAGGCAAGTTCTCTATAATTCATCTTTCAATCCTTTCTTAATGTCATCACTTATAAGCACTGAAGCTGTCAGAGCAAAGACACAATACTAGTCACTCCAAGGAAGGACCTTGGAGACCACAAACATCCCAGTTCTTGAGGGACTGAGCTCAAACTGTGACACTCTGGTGAAGCATCCCCAAGGTCACCTGCACTAAGACTGAAGCTTTACTGAGCTGAGGGAGATGCTTTCAAACCTCCATTTTCCAAGTGTAAATGTTTGGAACAGTTCTGTTTAGATAACTGTGTGCAGAAGGTAAATTAACTTTCCATATTAGCAAACTTCTGAAGAATACACAGTTCAGATCATTAAGGCTTATTTAACCATGATCTAGCTACACATAAATATTTTATGTGTCCAGAGGCAAAATGGAGATGTTAGTACATTATCTACAGATTCGAAGCCAAGTGCATTGACTTTTGCTCTTTGGTGACACTGCTCAAAACTAGACTCTCTTCTTTACACAAACCTTTCTTGTGTACAGACTTTCAAGCAGCATTTGACATCCTGCACAATAGACTTCCCTGTACGAGATCTTCTGTTTGTTTTGTCAGCCTCTGTCAGTGTTTTTGTGACTGCCTCCCTTACCCCTGCTCAACTTTGCTCTGATGCCTCCATTACAAACTCCAGAGGATGCAAACTTTCAGCTCCTGAAAACATTGTTCCAGCAGGAGAGAAGAGGCAGTAAACAATTCTAAATATAACCAAGGCTTTCACTGACACTAGAAAACACATATCTGCTCATTTTGCACTTTTTTGGCTATTGTCATTTTTAGCAATTTGTCTGTCTACCTATCTTCACTGGCACAGCACCTCTAGAAAAAATAACTTGATGAGTAAAGCACATACTCAGAATTGCCAGCAAATCTGGTGATAGAGAACTCATAATTCAACTCAGTGAGTGACTTCAAACGTCTCCCATGGCTTTAGGCAAACTTCTTGAGGTGCTGTAGGCACACAGGTGTTCTTTGCCAATGTTTGTACCCATCCCTGGCTGAAAGACCCTTTGATCCATTGCCTGCACTACCAGGAACCACATGTTTCCCAAGTATGGCTTGGACATGTCTTCTAGGTTCTTGTGGTCGCTCTGAATTACCCTAAAATGGCAATTCTGAATATACTCCTCAGTGCTTAAAGCTCTATTTCTCTTTAACATGCAGGAAAGAAATATCCAGAAACATTTTTTAAAACCCACAACTTCTGGGACTTCTGCAATGGGAACACATTTATTGATTTTTTCCTAAGTCCTGTACCTCGTCTGCGAGAGAACAGTTACAATCAGAAGAATATTAAATGTTGGCCAGATAAATATTATTGCACTCTTCTGTGTGTGTGTGTAACATCACTGGTGATGCAATTCAGCCTGAGTTAAGGTTAGACATGTCAGGTTTGCAGTGCAGGTGTAACTGCCATAAAGCAATAGCAATGATGTTTCTATGCCCAATCCAAAATGCTGCAGAGCATAAGTTGAATAAATGAAACGGGCCCAGGAGAAAAGAAGAACTTCCAAAAAGCAGAGATATTCAATGAGATCAACAGTGGTAAAAAGGGGAAATGATTAAGCAATGTATTTCATGGGATACAAATGTACAGAAACATCTCAGGCCCGTGAGCCTGAAGGCCTTGGCTCAGCAGTTATGTCACCACAGGAAGAGGCACTTACTTCACTCTGAGAAAAGAGGGAACTTCAGGGAAACAAAAGCAAATTTTCCACCAGTCTTTAAGCTTAATGGCCCAGAAGGTTGTCACTGTAGGAGCCTGAGGGTTACTCACAATGGCAATTACCTTTGCTTAGGCAAATCTCCTCACCAAAACTGCATATGCTTTGCCAGGCAACTATGGCTTTGTGGGGTGAGAAAAGCTTAAACCATTTAAAAAGATTTAGTTCTGATTTTCTTGGAGGTGAGGTGTTTGTTGGTTTTTTAGTTTTTTTGGCTCCCCCTCCCCAACAATTTTGGGAAACAAAGTGACAGTTAAGTCCCCTCCCCAACAATTTTGGGAAACAAAATGACAAACAGTTAAGCGTAAAAGAAAATGAAAGTTCTGATTTTTGATACATCCTTAACTTCAAGTAACAATTCCTCCTCTTGGAAAAGATAGTCTAGAAGAAATAGCAACTAATCCCTCTATTTCAGGCCACTGATCTGTCCCACCTTCCAGCAGCATGGACTCATGGGAACATGTTCTATTTTAGCAGAAAGGCTGTGCCTGGAAGGGACATTCCTTGCCCGTTTTTATTACAGCCTATGCTGGGAGAAAGAGTTTTCTTGCACTTGCCTGTTGAGATAGACACGTTTTTCTGTGAGCTGCCCATTGCCATGGTTGGGATCTTCGTAGGGTTCGTTCTGCACCACCTCCACCCCCTCACCTCGGTCACTCTGCTCATGGCTGTGTTTGCTGATCATGTACAGCTGTCCAATCCTGTACTGCAAGGCAAAACCAGCAACAAGCTGTTAGCTTTAGGCAACACACATCTTCAAAAGCCAATCTCAGACAATAACAGTGCTAGGTGCAAATAAAAGGCAGTTAAAGGTGAAAAACTAGCATTTTTGTGGTGTTCTCATCTTATTAACTCTAGGGCATCACTTGTGGAGAAAATAACCAACCCATGTGCATACAGGTGTGAAGAACTAGGCCAGTCTGTTATTATTAGGCTGTGTTTGTAGGTATATCAACTGAGAATAAACAAGCAATGAATCTAGAGCTTCCACATGCTGACATGCAAAGGGACTTCAACCAGCAGGTGAACTCCAACAGTTCTGTGGGGCACAGGACTCCTCTGTCCTGCCAACAGTGAAGCCCTGCAAAAAGATTCAGGGTAACTGCTGCTGGGTCACAGGAACAGCAGCACCAGCTCTTAGGAAAAAACCTCATGTAGACTCTAAGCCCTTTGAAAAGAGAAGTTTGAGATGAGTGATTTGGCAACATTATTAAAATGAATTTAAGCACTTAAACGATGCTTCTCCCACAGACTCTCGAGTTCCTTAGGAAGTCAGACCCCAAGAGGATTGGCCCAATATTGCTACCACAGAAAAATAAACTGTTGCACCATCAATTGTAGGAAAAAACCTCATGTAGACTCTAAGCCCTTTGAAAAGAGAAGTTTGAGATGAGTGATTTGGCAACATTATTAAAATGAATTTAAGCACTTAAACGATGCTTCTCCCACAGACTCTCGAGTTCCTTAGGAAGTCAGACCCCAAGAGGATTGGCCCAATATTGCTACCACAGAAAAATAAACTGTTGCACCATCAATTGACTCACTATTGGCCCAATATTGCTACCACAGAAAAATTAATTGTTGCATCATCAAATTTTTCTCACTATGTCTTGTATCCACACCAGTCCTTTTTCCTCCAGAGAAATATAACAAAAAGCACATCCTTGAATCTTTGTAAAATTTTACTTTTCCATTCATTTTCTGGTCTGAAATTTTATTCTCAAGTCCTTTGCACATTCCTGGGCTCTTACAACAAACTGCCTTTGGACCTATCCTTTTTTCTCTATTTGGATTCCTCTCTCCCCAGAGCAATTTGTTTAGGCATATACATGCTAATCACTTCAATCACATCAGTCCCTTCAAACACAAAGAACAACCTGTTAATTTAGAGAATGGCTGAGCTACCACACAAGCTGCCAAGTACTAGCTCAGCATAAGCAAACAAAAGCATAGTGACAGTCTGACCTCAGAAAACTCTATGAGATTCTTGTGGTTATTGCATATTATAAACAGCAATCCTATCACATACTTCTAAAAGCCCAAATCAAAAGGGCAATTAGCTTGGAAAAAAACCCAAACCATCACAGACCTGATTAGCAACTGGCAACAAGTCTTACCAAACAAAATGATAATGCATATCATGATGGGGCGACCTACAGAAGTTCTTCAACTCCACATACCCCAATTTATTCCCCTGCAGCCACAAGGAGGTAAGAAACTTGGAACTTACATCTTGCAGGATCATTTAAGAGATTAAGCCCAACATTGCTTTACTTGCTAATCCAATTATCCACCTTTGTCTCTACTGAACCCTTTTCTCACAGCCCCAGGGAGTGTTTGGCCAATGCTCTCAGGGGGTTGTTGGGGTGTCCTGTGCAGGGCCAGGGGTTGGACTTCAGTGATCTCTGTTGGTCCCTTCCAAATCAGGATATTCTGTGATCATATTTGAACATTTTGTACTAATCTTCAAAGCGCTGCAGACCTCACACAGACCTTTTAACTAGTTCCATGACAAACTGTCTTCTCTTTTTCTCTAACAAAAATGAATGCATTGGTGGCCAGGCAAGGCAAAGTTTGTGGACAGAGGTACTGGATTTGATTTGATCAACTAGTACAGTTGGAAAAAGGATAACGTTCAGGCAAATGATGTGTTCTTCAGCTCTGAAATCAAAGCAACATACTTCAAAGCTGAATGCAAGTTGAGAGAAAATGCTTTGCCTTTAATTAGATATGTACCAATTAGACCACCTGAGAGCAAAGATGCTTATTGCCCTGGAGCAGTAAGGATGGCAGAAAAGAGGAAAGGTGATAAGGTCCTTATCTTCTAATGGAAAGGAAGAGGTCAGTAATTTATATCCTGTGGAATATGAAAAGGTTAGGTCAGGAGAGGAATTACAGTTTGCCATAAAGTCAATATCTCGATTGAGACCTCTATTGGGATTTTTGTTATCCCATAAAGTTATGACTTTTAGTTGCCATGGACACCTCTGGAAAGTGTTTCATAATTGCACATATCAATTTCCTACTTCCATGTAGTCCTTTGCCTTTTGCTCTCAATTTTAATGGTCAAATACAAGCACCTCAGTTTCTGCTGGAAATTTTGGCTCAGAAGCATCAAGACAAATGCACATTGACCCTGACAACTAACAGTGGGGCTGTGCTGCAGCCTCCCCTTGCTCCAGCCCCACAAACCAGAGATACCCACCCTGATGCTACATTCTGCTAGCAGAGGCTGTTGCTCTTTCCTGGACCCACTGCCGTAAAATGCTTGCAGAGCATCAAATCCCAAAGACTGAAAATCAATCTGAGCAGAAGGTTAAGAGGGGCTAAGCTGCACTCTGCAGCTCAGGATCAGTGCTGTCAAGTAGCAATTGCTTTACAGATGCTGCACAGTCAGTGCTTAAAGGAAGGTTCTCAAGGCTCAAAAATCACACCCATTCCAACTGTAGCCGAGATCTCACAGAAGGTATCCAAGGCAGCTCAGCACGGTGCTTCTCACTTGGAAGATGCTGAAGGGAACAGAAAGCACCACAACTGGTGCTGGACAGCTCTCCTGTAGGAATCCTACTGCTCCTTGCCTCTCTGCAGGAGATGACTGTCCATACCACGGATCGGACAGCAGCCAAGTAGAAATATCCACCTCCCAGGCCAGGTTGGATGGGGCCCTGGGCAGCCTGAGCGAGTGAGTGGTATCTCTGCCCACGGCAGGGGGAGGAATGAGATGAGCCTTAAATCCCTTCCAACCCAAACCATCCTCTGCCTTTCCTAACTGCTGAAGTGACTGTGAATCCTGCTGGAAATCAGCTGCATTCTGCAAAAGAAACATCATTTTGCAGCTACTTTAAAGCAGCTAACTTAGCTCCTTTGTGTGCTATCCATTTGTTTCTATCTGATTTACAACATTTTAAAATCATCAGCAGGATGGGAAATGTTAACCTCCAAAATAACAGGACCTTACTAAATCAGAGAGTACACAACACTTTACTAGATCAGAGAGTGCACAACTATTATTTCAAATCAAATAACGTGTTTTAAAGTGTATGTTTCTATTTACATGGAAAAAAATCCAAAGCAAAGATGTTTCTTTTAGAACTTGCTGGAATTTAAATGCTTGAATAAAAAGTCACAGCTTTTTCTAAGTTCCTACTGATACTGTGCAGAAATAGCACTTAAGAAGCATTTTACAGCAGCAAATGATACTCATTATTTCCGCAAGGGTAAACTGATGTGCCACTATTATTTATGTTGCTCTATCACAATCTGAATTTCTGTGTTCTTAGCTGCAAGATAATTTTCCAAGACCATCTACTGTTTCAAGGAATGCAGCAAAATTTCACGCAGTGGCAACTGACCTGATTTTGGATCTGCACAAAAGCTCTTTGAAGATTCCTCAGTTTAAGAGGGGGAAATTTATTCAATATCAGAGGAAGAGCTTCAATAAACAAATGCACAGAAGGTGGAATTACAGATTTCTAAGGGTATTGCTATGTAGTTTTTGTAGTAGACTTGATGTTTCCCAACACCTAGTGAGAGAGACAGTGTCTCAGTGCTGACTCCTCTTCCCCTTCAACAGGCAGATGGTGTTTGCTGTTGGGAGTTTAGTCATACAAGAAACAAGGTTCATGTTAGCAACAGCATTATGATGGTCAGCCTAAATTTGTTTAAAATTATCAGTGAGACCAGAAGTGTTTTTATCCTCCAGACAAGAGGGAAAAAAAAGAAAAGAGAAAAACTGAAATGGGCTCCACCCTACCCATCAC